CGTCGTTTTCTGGACCGTTCCAATTCGCCTCGTAATTGTAGGGGTGCGTCTGCGATATTACATTGACCGCGAAAGCAGCAACGGCAAAAATACACATTCGTGCATCAACACGGGCATGCCCGCAGACGGCGTATCAAATTGCGTGCCGATTACACAAAGAGAACCCAGTGTTTTGACTGCGAACATGAAAAATCAGCCGATTACAACACTCCGTCCGGAGGTCCTGACCTCCTTCACGGAGTAACAAGGACCTACTGTCTACTGGCTTCCTAAAGTTTGGCTTGCGACGCACACGCAGTGACGCAACGCCGGGGGTGTTTGTTGTCGAATTTCCAGTAGCAAATATCATAAATTCTTTCACAATCAAGAAGACTACTTCAGCAATCAGCTATATAATGAAAGCTATATAGTGAAAGACTTCATATGTCGTGTCAACAGGCGATTGGAGTAGAAAAACGATTGGTTTTGTGCGGAAACATCAGTCCCTTCATGCCTGGTCTGAATGCTCTAGCTCCGAACTGTATACAAACAAACGCTGGAGAACAATCTTCTTTATATTCGGCAATTTTCGAGATTCTTCGGAAACCAAACACAGAGGCTCGGTTATAGTCGGTGCAGATCGTGTTTGTTAACGAAGATGGACGAAACTGATTGGAGCCGCCCGACTAGACTAGTCGGCGCCAGCGGCGCCCGGCGGCAACTTCTTCAAAGGGAAACGCCTGTCAATCAAGTACATGTACGTGAAGCCACGCTGTGGGAAAAGTTTTATTTCTCAAACAAACAGTCACAATATCAAACTTAGCTACTTTTACTATAGAGTCCAAACTGTAGTGGTTTCATCGGCGAAGTACTCTGGTCGCAATTTCGTGCATTGATTGAAGAAAATTGTTGATGCCGTGGCGTGCCAATGTAACACGTTACGTGTTCGACCGAGTTTGTTTACTGGCCGGGCGCAGGTCATTGACCTTCGGCTTGCGTTGTTCCGGCGGCTGAGTGGACTCGAAGAGCAAAATGTCTGGCAGTTTTAGCGTCCGATTTTTGTTTGTATATCATTGAAAATAACGCTAATTTCCACCACTACATAACGAAATTCTTGTGAATAAATGTATAACTCAAAAAGTCTTTTGGGGAAATAAATATTCTTATCCGGATTTTTGGTGTATTTGGTGTTCTTTATTCATGATCGAATGGTGCCGAAGTCAGCGTACCCTGACGCT